TTCTTAAATATATACATAAATGTGTGTATTTATATATACATAATAAAAATACACAGTACAAACACATATTATGTAAACACAAACTTTTATTTTGGATGCAGTTAATTGCGATTAATCGATTTGGCAGCACTATATGTGTTTATATATGTGTGTGTGTGAGTATACATATATATGTATATATATTCTCAAAACTATAAATGTGAAAATGTGATATAGAAATCCCAATCCTTTTGAGAGTTTGACCCAGCTCTGGCCAAACTCTGCTGTGGCCCTGACAGCTGGAGGAGAGACAGTGAGCAGTTTGGGTCATAGATTATGAACGGTGAAGTGTGCACAGAAGCAGATTTTTTTATGGCTAGGAGCAGCAAAAAATTGCTGAGCACATTCTCCTGACGCGCACGTGTACGATACTTCTGTTGTGCCTGCTGGACATACGTGTCCAGAAGTTGATACTCAGGGTGCTTTTTTCTGTTTTTTCTGTCCTCTTTCTATCCAGCCCAACGGGAGCAGTCAAGGGAAGGTGCACAACCCGTTCCTGCCCACCCCCATGTTGCCGCCTCCACCGCCTCCCCCGATGGCGCGACCCGTGCCCCTGCCCGTGACAGACTCCAAACCTCCCTCCACCTCCACCGAGGGAGGCGGCAACTCCCCCACCTCGCCAAGTGAGTACTACGGCCCATCACCTGCCGTCACACACACTCAACACTTGATCCCGAACGTAAAGTGTCTCGGGTTTCCCAAGCATGCGAAAGCTTATCTTCAGTGTTTTTCATAATGAATAGAATTTTCCATCAAACATGTGCAGTGTCCGTATCAAGCCTTCCTCTCAACAGCTGTACTGCTCCCGATACAATATTGATATTCATTTTGTGTGTGTGTGTGTGTTTTATTCACCACAGCCTACTCCACACCGAGCACGTCTCCTGCTCAGCGCTTTGTCAGCGTGGGCCCCAGAGACCCCAGCTTTGTAAATATCCCTCAGCAGCCTCAGGTGAGTACACATGCACAGATCCGCCGAATCCCTGAAAGTCCATCAAGAGTGCTTGTTGTCTGTCATAATAGGCTTTCAGCGCTGTTATGCTAGCTCATGTAACTCCCTCGCTCGCTGTGAGAGCTCATAGCTGATTTATTGTGTGTAATTGGCATGTTCAGACTCGGCCTCAACCTTGATTTATACCACTCACACACATGTACAATCGCTTGCGTGCTACAGATTAGTTGTCATATGGTGCAATTTATAATTTGACATGGCTGTTACAACATTTGGCCACTTTGAGGTTGTCAGGAACAGCCAATAACTGATAAAATGAGCTGTTAATCTTTAACGTTTATTCAACATTTACTCAAGCATAAACAGTTTGTAATGACTTAAACCCTGTTCACACTAAGAACGATAACTATAAAGATAACGATATTAGCGTCTACACCAGCGAACGATATCGTCTGTTTATTATAATCGCACATGCGTCTGCCGCTTTAAATTCTCGAGCTCGTGATAGCAGGATGGATTCTGATTGGCTGTCAATGTTTGTATCATTCATCAGCTGGAAAAAATAATTCTGAAAGTGATTCCAACGATATAGTTTCTCTGTGGGTTTATTGCTATAGCTGTGGTGTGAACTCTGCTATTCTTTAATATTGAGAACGATTTTTAGAACTATATCTTTATCTTTATAGTTATCGTTCTTGGTGTGAACAGGCCTTTAAGGTAGAAACTGGCACAAGAAAATGTTAGATCTTTTAGTTCTTCTCGTGCTTGTTCCCACGTTAGTCCTGTGTTGAGTAAATGTTGTTTAAACGTTCGTTTGTTTTTCGGTTTCAAATGATTAATGCAGTTTGTGCATTAGGCCTTTAAAGGGATAGTTCACCCAAAAATTTACATTTTGTCATCATTTACTCACCTCATGTCGTTCAAACCTGTATGAGTTTATTTGTTATGTTGAACATAAAAAGAAGATATTTTGAAGAATGCTGGTAATCAAACAGTTGTTGGTCCCTTTTGACTTCCATAGTATTTCTTTCCCTACTATGGATGTCAATGGGGACCAACAACTGTTTGGTTCTTCAAAATAACTTATTTTGTGTTTAACATAAGAAAGAAATTATACAGGTTCGGAACAACATGAGGGTGAGTAAATGATGATGCATTTTCATTTTTGGGTGAACTATTCCTTTAATACAGTTTGAAATGACTTGTTACGTACGATATTTGGCTGTTCTGAGGTGGTCAGGATCAGCCGATGTTCAATAACAAATAAGTTGTTAAACTTCAGTGAACATTTACGAAACATTTACTCAAGCATAAATGTTTTGTGATACAGAAAATACTTAATTTAATTACAAAATAAATGTAACCGTAATCAGTTACAGTTACTGAGAAAAAAATGTGTGATTAAATTACAGTTACTTATGAAAATGTTAACGATTACAAAGGGGGTAATCTGAATATTTTCTGTAAAAATCTAGGACATGAATAATATTAATATGTTGCTTTGTCTGTTTTTGATGTGCTCGATGCCTCCTGCCATGTAAAGTTCTTTATGTAAAGCGATGCTATTCTGATGAACAGTAATCAAAAATGTAATCAGTTACATTGCTTTAATAAAGTAACTGAAATAGTTACACTACTTATTACATTTTAAATAGGGTAACTTGCAATCTGTAACCTATTACATTTCCAAAGTAATTTCCCAAAACTGGTAATTTCTGTATAATAGTGTTAAATGTTGTGTAAATGTTGTGTAAACATTAATTTAAGTTAGTTAGTCATGTTAAAAAGATATTTAGACACTTAAGCCTTACCTAAAATGTATGAGTGTAATTGCATTAGATATAAGATTTCAAACCAGCTAGCATTTATTTTAAAACTAAAACAACATGAACACAAATTTCAAGAAACCTTTTCATATAAAGTAGGTATCAAGTGATCAAACAATAAATATTATACTAGTCTGTAGTTATCAGGTTGTGCATAACACATTTAAAACTCATATCGCGCAACCGCTACTATTAATATATTCATAAATGGGCATCAGGATCACCCTGTTAATGTAAATGAACTTGTGTTTGTATTTTGCAGTCGTGTAAATGCCGCCTGTAACCTTAATCGTCACACACACATATCTACAATGACAAATACAGCCTGTACTGCCACCTGCAATTGCACAAACATACAAAATAAGAGCATGTTACCTTTGTAAACGCAGCTATAACACACCAACAACACACACACACACACAGCTGAGACGATACCACGCTCATAGAGAAACACTTAAGACTGGATTGGATCAGATTGTGTGTGTGTGTGTGTGTGTGTG